CTTGATTTTTTTAAAAAAAAAGTTGCTCTAAAGTACTAGTCATCTTAGTTGCTAAATTTTCGATGCCCCAGAGTGAGTGTCTCTCTTGCTTTACCCTGGTTCCAGCCTGCAACTCAGCGTGTTGTGAGAACAAAAATCATGGAGTTAACTGTTTTGACCTCTCCCAAGATCGCAATCTGCAAAACAGAGAGAAGAGTCCTTGAGTTTTCTGACTTGGCTCCTCCTTTTTGGGTTCTCAGTGACTAAATGAACATGCTTTGTATTGTTAGTTTTTTTTAAATTTATTTATTTGTTTTTACCTTTAGGAGAATGCTCTGAAAGTCTACCAGAAGGCACTATCAAGTATTTATAAAATCTAAAGTTTGGTGTTGTGTGCATTGGTTTGGTAACATGGGAAGAAAGAAAAAATAGTGCCTTATAGAAAGTGAGTGTGTTCGTGGCGAGAGGATAAAATGATGTAGAGAAAAACAGTTGGCTGGCAAGTTGATACCCAACTCTTCTACCTGCATGCATCGTTGTAAGATAATTATTCCCAGCGTCAGTTTGGTACATGTTTTGTGACCTTGTTCAGGGCACACAGCTGTGGAGCGAGCTGAAAGGCGTCTCCGCTGTTTGTTAGAGTCCACATGGAAGTGGAACCATGCAGTGTTTCTGTGCCCGGCACACTCCACTTAAGTCCACTGAGCGTAATATCCTCCAGGTTCACCCTTATTTTTGAAAAGAGCAAGATTCCTTTCTTTTATTATTTTTAAAAAGATTTATTTATTTATTTGAAAGTCACAGTAACAAAGAGAAAGGTCTTCCATCTGCTTCTTCATTCCCCAGATAGCTGCAGCTGCCAGGTTGCATGTGGGCCTCCCACACAGGTGCAGGGGCCAAGGCACCTGGGCCATCCTCCACTGCACTTCCAGGCCGCAGGCAGGGGCAGAAGTGAAGCAGACACTCTAGACAAGAAGGGAGCAGCTGGGAATCAAACCAGCATCCATCCGAGATGCCAGTGTCACAGGTGGTGGCTTTTCCCGCTCTGTCACAACACCAGCCCCTCTCTTTTTAAACACTAAATAATATTCCATTGTATAAATCCTACAGTTTCTTTATTCAGTTACCCATTCAATGGTCACTTAAGTTGATTGCCTATTTTGGCTACAGGTGCTGATTGCATTAGCTTTGGGCATATATACCCACACAGGGTTTGCTTGGTCATATGGCAGTTCCATTTTGAATTTTGTAAAAAATATTATGCACTTACTTGAAAAGCAGAGAGGAGAGAGAGAGAGAGAGAGATGAGAGATGAGAAATCAGCCACAACAGCCAGGTGTGAGCCAGGCCAAGGTCAGGAGCCAGGAACTCCATCCAGGTCTCCCCTGTGGGCGGCAGGGCCCCAAGCACTCGGGCCATCATGTGTTGCCTTCCCAGCCACAGGAACAGAAAGCCAGATCAGAAACGGAGCAGCTGGGACTCGAATCGGCACTCCCGTGGGGGCCACCAGCGTCGCGAGTGGGAGCTTAGCCTGCCGCACCACAGTGCCAGCCCCGTGTTTTGAATTTCTTGAGGAACTTTCCTGCTGTCTTCCATAGTGTCTGCACCCATTTCCAGTCCCACCAGCGGGATAGAAGGCCTTTGTCTTCGCCACACTTCTGCTAACACTCACCTCTTGACTTCCTGATTATACCCATTCCAGTAGGGGTGGAGAAAGATTTCATTGTAGTTTTGGTTTATGTTTTCCTGATAATTAGTGATGCTAAATATCTTTTTATATACCTATTGGCCATTTGGATATCATCTCTGGAAGGAAATTTATTTGCTGTGCTTTTTTTTGCTATTGATTTGTAAGAGTTCTTTATATAATTTGGATATTGTCCCTTTGTCAGATATATGATTTGTAAGTATTTTCTTCCAATCTGCAGACTACCTTTTTAATTTGTTGACTGTCTATTTTGCTGTGCAAGTCCCATTTATTTATTTTTGTTTTTTGTTTTTGTTTTGTTTTTTTTTTCCTGAGCTTTTGGTATGATATCCAGAAAGCCATTGCCAAGGTCAATTTCAAAGAGCTTTTTTTTTCCTGTGTTTTCCTCTAGGAATTTTAAATAGAACAAAGGGCAAAAGAGTGGCTACTGGGGCTGGAGAGGAAGAGGAAATGAGCAAGAGGAGGTCAAAGGGAATACATTTGCAGTTTCATAGGCGGAGTCTAGAAATTTGCCAGAGAGCACGAGGACTAGAATTAATTAGGGTGTGCACCTGAAAATTCGCTCTGAGCGTAGATTTTAAATGCATTTTCCACACACTTAAAAAACTTACTATGGAAGGTGGAGGGCATGTGCATTTGTTTGACTATGATAATCATTTCCCTATACACATCATGTTGTGGGGCCAGCACTGTGGCATAGCAGGTAAAGCCACAGCCTGCAATGCCAGCATCCCATATGGGCACAAGTTCATGTCCTGGCTGCTCCACTTCCCATCCAGCTCCCTGCTGGTGGCCTGCGAAAAGCAGCAGAAGACGGTCAAAGTGCTTGGGCCCCTGCCACCTGGGTGGGAGACTCAGAGGAGGCTCCCGGCTCCTGGCCCCTGGCTTCAGCCTAGCCCAATCCTGGGTGTTGCAGTTGTCTAGGGAGTAAACCAGCAAATGGAATATCTCTCCTTCTTTCTCTGTAACTCTGACTTTCTAATACATAACATCTTTAAAATAAAATCATGTTGCATGCCTTAAATATGTGCAGTAAAAATGAACCAAAAAAGAATGTCAGTGTAAATCTTGACCCATGATGGTGAGATTCCATGCAAGCAACCAGTGGCTCCTAGAAGGAACTTGAAGCGTAGCGGTACACTCAAGGAGAGCAATTGGAAAAGGGCAGCCTCTGGGCGTGCCCAGACACACATTTTGGCCTAATGCCAAATGGACAACTGCTTCCTCAGAGCAGAGGCCAAAACTTACCCTCAGAACCATGGAATGTATTTGGAGTTTACAGGGGAGAAAAACAAAACCCCAAGCTGTCCAATACTTAGCATAAGTATACTATGAAAACGAAGTCATGAAATTGCTAAGGGTTGATTCTCTCATATAGGAGCAGGAGCTGCCAGCACTGCTGGCTGCCCAGTTGCTCTTCTGCGCGTCTGACACTGGGTAGGTGCTAACTCTTATCTGAGCTCAGAGGCAGAACAAGACACTTGGGATGACCTCATTGTTCCTCACAAGTCTTCTTTTCTTCCTGTGTCTGATAATAATTTGTTGTGTTCAGACCAATGACAATTTACTATGAATATACTCCATGACTTGGAAGATTTTCTTAAGATGTCAAAATTTTAGGCAGAGGGCCAGCACTGTGGTGTAGTGGGTAAAGCCACCGTCTGCAGTGCCCACATCCCATTGGGCACTGGTTCGAGTCCTGGCTGCTCCACTTCCAATCCAGCTCTCTGCTATGGCCTGGGAAAGCAGTGGAAGATGGACCAAGTGCTTGGGCCCCTGTACCTGTGTGGGAGACCTGGAGGAAGCTCCTGGCTCCTGGCTTCAGATCAGCCCAGCTCCGGCCGTGCAGCCAATTGGGGAGTGAACCAGCAAATGGAAGACCTCTCTTCCTCTCCCTCTCTCTGTCTCTTTGTCTCTCTCTCTGCCTCTCCTTCTCTCTGTGTGTAACTCTGACTTTCAAATAGATAAATAAATCTTTTAAAAAAATTTTAGGCGGCATCTTTGACTTTAGTGATTCCCTGTGTGACTTGTTCATAAAAGCATAGGAGCCTAAATGAAATAGAATAACACAACTATTAAAGGCCACCATGGTTAACCTAAGTGCCAGAATATCAAATAATTCAAGGAAAATTGCCAGTTTGATACAATCTAATTTTTTGTTCTTTGCTATATATCCATTCACTTTTATTAGATATTTATGGGTTGAAAAATTATGCTTTCCTGGTACTAATAATGCACTTTTTTTTTTGAGAGAGAGAGTGGATAGTGAGAGAGAGAGACAGAGAGAAAGGTCTTCCTTTGCCGTTGGTTCACCCTCCAATAGCCACTGCGGCCAGCGCGCTGCGGCCGGCACACCGCACTGATCCGATGGCAGGAGCCAGGTGCTTATCCTAGTCTCCCATGGGGTGCAGGGCCCAAGCACTTGGGCCATCCTCCACTGCACTCCCTGGCCACAGCAGAGAGCTGGCCTGGAAGAGGGGCAACCAGGACAGAATCTGGCGCCCCGACCTGGACTAGAACCCGGTGTGCCGGCGCCACAAGGTGGAGGATTAGCCTAGTGTGCCGCGGCGCCGGCCATGCACTTTCACTATATACATTAAGTGTCAAATTATTCCCCTACTTATTTAAATATTTAAAGTATTTTTTGTACATGCAATCAATAGTAACGGTCATCATTAATCATAGGAGTACATACAATAGGTATTTGCAACAATATGTGTGGAGTGCGTTTATTCTTCAACTGACCAGGATAATTTGGATACAAAGCTGTAAGAAGGGCCAGGCACTTGGCACAGCCGTCAGGAGGCCTCTGGGGATGCCCACATCCCCTGTCAGTGTGCCTGGCCCAAGTCTCATTCACTCCACTTCCAATCCAGCTTCTTGCTAATGTGCACCCTGGGAGGTGGCGGGGGATGGCTCAAGAATCTGGAATCCTGCCACCCACACTGGAGACCCGGGTTAAGTTCCTGGCCCCTAGCTTTGGCCTGAACTAACCCTGGCTGTTGGAAGCATTTAGGAACTAAATCAGTGAATGGAAGACTCCCACCCCATCTTTCAGACAAACAGCACACGAGGAAGCTTCACTCTGAATAAAATAATTACCTGTATTTTTTTTTTTTTTTTGACAGGCAGAGTGGACAGTGAGAGAGAGAGACAGAGAGAAAGGTCTTCCTTTGCTGTTGGTTCACCCTCCAATGGCCGCCGCGGCCGGCGCGCTGCGGCCGGCGCACCGCGCTGATCCGATGGCAGGAGCCAGGAGCCAGGTGCTTTTCCTGGTCTAGGCTAATTACCTGTATTTTAAAATGTTCCCCAGGGCCGGCTGGCATTGTGGCGTGGTGTGTTAAAATGCTGCCTGCAACACTGTCATCCCATGTGAGTGCTGGTTCGAGTCCCGGCTGTTCCACTTCTGATCCAGCTCTCTGCCATGGCCTGGGAAAGCTGTAGAAGATGGCTCAAGGCTTGGGACCCTGCACCCACGTGGGAGACCCAGAAGAAGCTCCTGGCTCCTGGCTTTGGCCTGGCCCAGCCTGGGTATTGCAACCATTTGGGAAGTGAACCAGTAGATGAAAAGACCTCTCTCTGTTTCTGCCTCACTCTGTAACTCTGCCTTTCAACTAAATAAAAATAAATCTTAAAAAAAAAAAAGTTCCCCAATGACTACAACTCTGTTTTTCTATATTACCAACATTGCTATTCTGATTATCGTAATCTCCAGAGATCCACTGGACCCTGCCCATCATCTTGGAAGTGCACCCAATCAGCTTGGATTATCCCTAGACAAGCTCTGGGTTAGCAGTCAGAGACCAGGTTACCAAAATTCTCTTCCCTTTGGTAGCCCTAAACAAATTGTAGCAATAGCTGAGAACCCCAGGTTAGACATGCCCCCAGATAGTGTTCACAGCATTTCGTGTGGATGGGTACTGGTCTTCCACCTCTGGGTAAGGCAGGGCTCTGGAATTACCATCTTCCCACCATCCCGAATCACTCACAATGGATAGAAAGGGCATGATGAGCCCTGTGGTCACTTTAGATGGTTCTCCCACACAAATTGTGCAGTTTGGAGTAGGGAAAGCCCTGGGGGCTAGGCGACAGCAAGGAGTGTTGGGAGGCTGTGAAAATCAGGTCCTGAGAGAGAGAGAGAGTGAGAGAGCCGCCAGCAGAACTTCTGCTAATGAGCCCCCAAGGGTTGCCACCTCCTAGAGGGGTAGCTCAGTCCTCTCTCTGTGCCATATTGTCCAGGGGCAGTGAACAGTGGCCATCAACTAGACGCAGCCAGTGCTATGATAAAGGAAACAGACTGACAGCAGATGATGTTGCGCCCTTCCCTTTGGAGGACCGGGAGCACTGCTCTATCATGTCGGTGATGGCATTTCAGGTCCTAGGGGACGGGAGTGAGCTGGGGAGTCCTGGTCTCCAGGGCGCCAGGGATCTCAGGATGAGATGCCACACAGGGACTTGGGTGGCAATAAGTAGCCGCATAACTGGGGCCACGAAACAACGGAATTACACCTTGCCAGATACAGCCCCCTGTTCCCTGTCATCACGCTACCCTAGGCCCTGCAACGTTGGCCTGGCTTCCTAGCTGGGAGGCAGCAGGTCAGCAAACTGTCAGCAAGGCCTGGCCTTTCCAGGCCCTCGCCCTCAGCTCCCCAGGGACGTTCTTCTCCTCACTTAGCACCCATTCCAGTGCCTGCCCCAGGCTTTGTCGCGAGCCGGGACTGCTCAAGGATAACACTCTGGACCATGACATGTGCCTTTCCAGTTGTCCATTCTCGGCCTCCTGTGCTGGACACGTCGTGTAACTTCACTGCCCTCTCCCTCGTCTGCAGCTTTTTCCTTCCCCCCCTCCAACTGATCCAGGGAGGCACCAGGCCAGCCTTGCACTAATATCCCAAGCACCTTTGTTCCTTCATCCGAATCCCAGCCTTGGAAGGAACAGGGATCTGCTGTTCCTGTCACCAGAGCTCCAGGCGAAAACCCGTAAGATTAAACAGCTGGGCACCACCCTGAAGGTGTGGTTCTACCTTTAACAACGGGCGCTTACGGCCAGTTCACCCCTGCACCTGCCGTCCACTCCAGCTGCTGCCTACTCTTATCTTTCCTTTCTTTGGAAGGCAAATAAAATTTTCATTTGTCTTTAAAGTTGTTCATTTTAGTGTTTTTATTATTGTTATAAAAATATTATGTTGGGGCCGGCGCTGTGAAGTAGTGGGTAAAGCCACTGCCTAAAGTGCCGGCATCCCACATGGGCGCTGGTTTGAGTCCCGGCTGCTCCACTTCCAATCCAGCTCTCTGCTATGGCCTGGGAAAGCAGTAGAAGATGGTCCAAGTGATTGGGTCCCTGCATCCACGTTGGAGACCTGGAAGAAGCTCCTGGCTCCTGGCTTCGGATCAGCACAGCTCCGGCCGCTGCAGCCAACTGGGGAGTGAACCATGGAATGGAAGACCTCTCTCTCTCTGCTTCTCCTTCTCTCTCTGTGTAACCCAAATAAATGTAATTTCAAATAAATGAATAAATCTTTAAAAAATATTGTGTCATGTATCATTTCTATGTTAAATGTTAAAAACATGTTCAGATATAGTATAAAAATAGTACATAAGAGTAAAAAATGTCAAATGAATATTTTCTCTTCCTACCCAACCAAACACATAGCCCAGAGCTAGTGGTACTAAGATTATGTGCATATGTGCATGTAGTTACATGGATGTGGAAGAATTTCCAACACACATGGGGTCACGTGACAGATGCTGTTCTGTTGCATGCCTTTTTCCATTTTCTGCATTTCAGACTTCGTTCCACATGAGTGCAGGTAACTACACCTCATTCTCTTAAGACCTCATTCATCTGAGTCACTACATCCTGCAAATGTGGCTCATATTTTTCAGAATTTACTCTAGCAATGTATGGAAAAAGAAAGGTGAAGGAATTATATTAATATCAAAGTGTACCTGAGAACAAAGAACATTCTCAGAGATAAAGGCATCAAGTCATCAAGAACATGTACAAATTCTGAGCATCCAGGTCCCTAAGAAAAGGACTTTACAGGAAGCAAACACTAAAGACTCCACCCCTGTAATGTGGGCTTCAGGACCCCTCTGTCAATAACTGGGAGAACAGTAGGCAGACATGCAGCAAGGACAGAGAGGTCGGGAGCAATACCAGCGGTCAGCTTGACCTGATTAGGGTTTTTGGAAACACCACTCAGCAGTCATAAAATACAAGTTTTTTTGTTTGGTTGGTTTTTTGTTTTTATTTGACAGGTAGAGTTATAGACTGTGAGAGAGAGAGAGAGAGACAGAGAGAGAGAGGTCTTCCTTCCATAGGTTCACTCCCCAAATGGCTGCTACGGCCAGCGCCACACCAATCTGAAGCCAGGATACAGGTGCTTCTTCTTGGTCTTGCATGAGGGTGCAGGGGCCCAAGCACCTAGGCCAACCTCCACTGCCTTCCTGGGTCACAGCAGAGAGCTGGACTGGAAGAGGAGCAACCGGGACTAGGACCGGCGCCCATGTGGGATGCCGGTGCTGCAGGCGGAGGATTAACTCCAAGGGGAGTGGCTAAGCAAACACGAGGGGGATATCGGCTATGGAATCTAAAGTAGCACTTGGAAACAGGGAACATGACAATACGGACACGCACACCACCTGTGTGCACAGTTATCACACACGTGAGGGTCTATCCCTGGGGGTGTGAAGAGGGCCGTGGGGAACAGCCATCAAGAGACTAAGGAAGGAAAGGGAGAGGCGTGTTCCTACTGGCCAAGGATGACAGTCTCTTAGGAACTAGGGAATGCAATTGACCAAACTCTGCACCTGACATCCAGAGAGAGAGAGAATGGTGTGAACACTCTCATGTAACTCGGTGTCCTCCACAGCCACGGAGGAAAACTAGAAAAGAAGCTTAGCTAACTCTAGGAGGTGGACTAGTGCCGGGCATTCATAGTGCATGATGCAGACGTCCAAATGCGAATTAGGACAAGCTGATTTTTAATAGATAATTATTTATTCCAGATAGCCTGACAACTCCAGAAAACTAAAAACTTAGGCAGAGTGATAGTGATACACATTATCAATAATTCCTCGTTCTAGGATCACTCTCTATACCAGCAAGTTTCACCAGAGTTATTAACTGTAATGTATGATGAGCTGATGGAGCTGATAAACTAAAACTTTCCCTCCGGAACTATCCAGAAAGCACAGCTTTCCTCCATCCTCTTTGGGAAAGAGCTTTGTGTATTTAAATGTATTTAATGCCCTTGGCTCTCTCTTGCTCCAGTGTTTCAATCCTCAGAGATAGTTTGTGTAATTCCAGGGCCATTTTTGAGTCGCCGGGATCTGGGAGACACTCCAGGAGGTGTTGGCCCTCTAGGACTTCCTCATGTTCTAGGACTTCCTGAAAGAGAAAATAAAGAGGAGGTTTTTGTAAAGTTTGCCTTTTGTTGTAAAGGGAGCCTTGTTCTTTCAGGGAGCCTTATGACAGGAGGAGAATTGGAAAATGAAGAATAACCCAGAAGAGATGGGCAAGAAACTCCAGGAAAAGACTCTGGATCCTAGCAAAATCCAAGGGGTCTTCAAAAAGCTCATGGAAAATGTGTATTATGGCTGCTGGCACTGTGACACAGCAGGTTAAGCCACTGCCTGCAATGCTGGTATCCCATATGGGTGCCAGTTTGAGTCCTGGCTGCTCCTCTTCTGATCCAGCTCCTTGCTAATGGTCTGGGAAAGCACAGAAGATGGCCCAAGTGCTTGGGTCCCTGGCCCCAATGTGGGAGACCCGGAAGAAGCTCCTGGCTCCTGGCTTCCGCCTGCCCCAGCCCAGGCTGTTGTAGCCATCTGGGGAGTAAAGCAGCAGATGGAAGATCTCTCTGTCTCTCTCCCTCCCCCTGTAACTCTGAGTTTCAAATAAATAAATAAATCTTAAAAAAAAAAAAAAGAACTCACTGAAGGAGCAGTATTCACTCTCTTGCACTTGGGCACAGCTGGGATCCAAGATCTGTGCTGTGAACAGGAGATAACCTGGGAGCCAACCATCTTGTAGCCAGGGTCACACTGGATGGTGAGGGTGTCAGGAGTGATGTACTGGTCCCTCTCCACAGACAGCTTTCCATTTGGGATCCTTGGTTTTAGACAGAGGGCTGTAACCAAAGCAAATTATCTTAGCATCTTGTGGACTGCTACAAAGGCACATTTTGAGACGGGTAATTAATAAAAGCAGTAAGAAATACTGCTGACTTCTACTTGCTCTTTCTAATTGCCGCCATCATCACCACCTCTACCAACCCAACCACTGGCTAGTTTGGGTATCAAGCACTTGCTACCTATCAGCCTATGTGCTGAGCACATTATGAGTATTATTTCATGTAGCCTTCTGCAATGCCATGTACACCCATTGTAGAGATGAGGAAACCAAGGCAGGAAGAAGCCACGTGCCTCACCCCAGCTCACCCATCAGCTGTACTGTGGCAGCCCGGGTGTGCAGCCTGGGTATCTGGTCTCAGACGCTGCACTTTCTCCTTCTGTGCTACAGGGCTTCACTTCCTGTCTCCGTTTTCCTTTGTGTAAGATGAAGGTAACGGCAGAGACTTAGCTCCCCGAATGAGGAGTGAAATGATACAAGAACCTAGAAACATTTTCTTCTGTTGCCATCACAGCCACTGACCCACAGGGAGGTTCACCCCCTGGGTCAGCTGTCCTGTGAAAGGTGCTCCCTAAGGACCCAAGGTCCTCTTCCTTGGATAGGTGGGCTTCTGCCGTAACCGGCCACACTCAGGCTCAAGCCTGACCCCCGGATCTCTGCTCTGCCTGGGGGGACCCCTTCGCTCCCAGCCCCCCCGAGCCGCTCTGCAGGGGTTGCTGCTGGGGGGGTGAGTTACCTGCACACTGAGGAGCTGGAGAGGACCATCGAAAAAACTTGCAGGAGAGGGTGGCTGTGCCCACCAGTGCGTAGCCTTCCTGGCATTTATACTGCACCGTGGTGGGGAGCCCCAGAAACTTGGTGATAACTTTATAGCTTCCGTGTCGAATCCTGGGAGGTGAACTGCAACCTTGTTCAGAGAGAGACAGACAGGTTTTTCTGATTCATGAACGACAACCAAGGGGATTTATTGGAATACTGTTATCTTTCATAACTAATTTCATTTCCCATTGAAAAAAAAAAAAACCTGTCCAATTAACAAAATGGAGGTGTCTCCTCCCCCATATTACCCTATGGTGGAGAGATAAGGAAAGTAGGTTGTGTACAGGTATCTGGGGAAGATAGATGGCTCTTCATCTTATATAGATTATTTTCCCCGATAATTTAAAATATTTAACAAAATATATTAAGTGCTTAATACGGTAATGTTCGCAGCACTTAAAAAATGTAAACTCACTTTTAAGCTCCCTCTCCCCAAACAACCTGTTGAGGTAGGCATTCCTTCTATTATTTTTCTAAAGATATATTTATTTATTTGGAAGGCTGAGTGGCAGAGAGAGAAGGAGACAGAGAGAGACAGAGCTTCCATCTGTTGGTTCACTTCCCAAATGGCTACAATATCTAGGTTTGGGCCAGGCCAAGATCAGGAGCCAGAAACTCCATCTGGGTCTTTCAGGTGGATGGCAGGTCCCAAGGACTTGGTTCATCTTCTGCCATCTTCCCAGGGGCCTTAGCGGGAAAGTGGATGGGAAGCAGAGCAGCCAGGATGGACCCAGTGCTCCAGTATGAGATGCCCATTGCAAGCTGTGCCTTAACCCATTGTGCTACAACGTAGGCTCCAAGGCATTGTCATTATCAAGCACAGAGGGGTGAAGCGGTTTGCCCAAGGTCACACAGGTAGTGAGGAGCAGTCAAGGTAGGTTAGCGCCACATAGTCCATGCTGTGCCTTGCTGACAATGTGTGCTACTGGGGACAAAGAAGGAGCCGTGCTTATATTTAAAGCTCAGTCAGCAACAAAGGGTTTTTATTTTTTATTTTTTTTAACTGAAGTTGCTCACAGAACACTTGCGAGGCAGACATTTAGCTGGTGGTGGAGAGGCATCGCTTCTCTCACCCAGCAGAGCCTGGCTTGGATGCCTGCTAAAGCAGACTCCTTGGCCGCCCAGGCGGGAGACCTGGATTGTGTTCCTGGGTCCCAGCTTTGTCCCTGGTGTCGCCCCAGACATCTGGGGAGCAGACCCGCAGATAGGAGCTCTCTTCCTCTTGCTGTCTGTCTCTCTCAAATAAATTTTAGAAGGAAGGAAGGAAGGAAGGAAGGAAGGAAGGAAGGAAGGAAGGAAGGAAGGAAGGAAGGAAGGAAAGAAGGAGGAAGGAATAAGAGAGGGAGGTGGGAGGGGAGGGAGGGAGAGAGAGAGGGAGGAAGGGAGGAGGGAAGAAAGATATGTGATAGCAACATTGTTCTGTGAAAGCTTTAATGACTGCAAATCCAGAATCCCAGCACCCTCCCACCCTCCAACCCCAAGAATGCCCTGTGCTTCGAATCTTACAGAAAAGAATCACAGGGAAAATGTTTTTAATTACTTACTAAACTGCAAAAATCAAATCTTATATTTATTCAGCGTTTTATGGCTTGCAGAGAGCTTTTATATGCATACTTTGTGAATTTAGATTCGAGCTCATTTCCTCAGAATTTGTAACAACAATAACAGTCTCACTTTTGCCTTATGGGTGGTAAGACTATGACAACTGATTAGGAAACAAAACTATAGCGGGGAAAATGAACTCATTTTAAAAATAAAGGCATTTTGTCGGTGCCGCGGCTCAATAGGCTAATCCTCCGCCTAGCGGCGCCGGCACACCAGGTTCTAGTCCCGGTCAGGGCGCCAGATTCTGTCCCGGTTGCCCCTCTTCCAGGCCAGCTCTCTGCTGTGGCCCGGGAGTGCAGTGGAGGATGGCCCAAGTGCTTGGGCCCTGCACCCGCATGGAGGACCAGGAGAAGCACCTGGCTCCTGGCTTTGGATCAGCGCAGTGAGCCAGCTGCAGCGCGCAGGCCGCGGCGGCCTTTGGAGTGTGAACCAACGGCAAAGGAAGACCTTTCTCTCTGTCTCTCTCTCTCTCACTGTCCACTCTGCCTGTAAAAATAAATTAAAAAAAAAAAAAAAGGCATTTGGGAGGCCCGTGCTGTGGTGTAGCTGGAAAAGCCGCCGCCTGCAGTGCCCGCATCCCATGTGGGTGCTGGTTCAAGTCCCAGCTGCTCCACTTCCGATCCAGCTCTCTGCTATGGTCTGGGAAAGCAGTAAAAGATGGCCCAAGTCCTTGGGCCCCTGCACTCACGTGGGAGACCTGGAGGAAGCTCCTGGCTCCTGGCTTCAGATTGGCACAGCTTTGGCCATTGTGGCCATCTGGGGAGTGAGCCAGCAGATGGAAGACCTCGCTCTCTCTCTGCCTCTCTTTCTCTGTCTGTGTAACTCTGACTTTCAAATAAATAAATAAATCCTTTAAAAAAATTTTAAAAAAGCATTTTAAGTACAATTGCTTTCGTATTTGTGTAAGACAATGAAGTTACTTGCAACTTGTCATTATCTATTTACTAGACTAGATTTCTAGGAATTTATAGAAAGCCACTTTTTTATTAGTGCTAATAGTATTGACCTTAAAGCATCAAAATATTTAAAAATATTGTATAGTTAAAGCCTTCCATTTATAAAATATAAACTAAACCATGCATGGCACCAATTAATAAAAACAATGGATTTATTAACTTTAATAACCAACACTCATCAATTCACTATGTCTCCTACAAACTGACTTGAATTACTACAATTTGCCCACGCTTTATAAATCCCTGATACGGAGTACATTTATTTGCGATGCTCGGCTGAGCTCCCTTCTCTCTGCGGACTGCACAGTTCGCTTGTGCTTTCCTGGGGCCTCGTGCACCAGCGCTTGCCTTACTCACCGTGCAGGCTGGATGGGCAGAGGAGCAAGGTCAAAACTCCAAAGAGGCGCCCGCTTCGGGAGGTGCTGCCCGACGCAGGCCACATCGCACCTGGGGACAGTGCCAGCAGAAGCTTCAGGCTCGCGGATTCTACCTAGAAACACCTGGAGGAGCTGCCAAACCGCCAAGCTGAAGGCCAACCTCCCTCTACGCCGCGAACCCAAGGTTACCAGGATCAGCTGAGGATGCCGGGAGCCAGGATGGTAAAAGAAATCGCTATCCTGAAATGTAAGCAGTTCATTTCTGAGAAACAAAACAAACCAGAGAGAAGAAAAAGGACTTTGGCTTACAGTGGGCAGGCCCAGCACCCTGAAAACAAACTGATAAAGGCAGGAGTCTGGGCATTGGGACTGGGGGTGGGGGTGGAGGGATAGGGGGCCGCCCCTGAGAAGCACCACCTGCTGGAGAAAGGTTGTGAAGTCAGTTTTGAGTCAACAAAGGTGACAGAAAAACAATCAAGACAACTAGCAACAGGGAAAGTGAAGTTTCCTTGCAGATTCTAAAGAAGGGAAAGAGGAATATGAAAAAACTCAAGTAGGTCCAACAAAATGACTCCTTGTTGTCTTTCCTGATTATCTGAGTCACACGTTGATGCAGTTCTGGTCTGTTGAGGCAGGGAGCAGTGGCGCGTCAAGTCCTGGAAGCAGGCACCTGCACGCACGGGAGAGGCTGGCAGTGCGGCACCAGGAAGACAGAGATTCCACCAGGTCTTTGAGCGGATTTGCATGGTGCTCAGTCAGCCTTGTGTCAGATCTCTGAGCAGAGCTGTGAAAAAGTCGTTTAAGTGCCTAATTACGGTCTTTCAGAGATACGCTGATGCTAACTAAAGGAAGACAAGTTTGGAGAAGTGCCCAAAAATGACCTCACCCAGTTCAGCTTGAAAAACTCTTAACAGGAGTTCAAAATCCAAAGTACTTAGCGCTCACTTACCAGAACTGAGTGGGTTATGATGTAATATTGACTATGGCATGATTCAATTTCAACCTTCCAGAAAAGCAAGGAGAGCAAATACATCTATCATGTTTACTCAACTTTAGAAAGAGAATCCGAGACAGCAACTGAATATTAGGTAGAAAAAAGAAGCCATTGAAAGCACTCACTAGAAGACTATTTTGAATTATTCCTTCTACCTAGTATGTCCCTTCTGTGTTCTAAATACTTTCCATGAAAACCCAAAATGCTGAATATGAGTAAAAACAGAGAGAGCTGCATTTTCTGTATAGTGGTGTTTGCTTGCACCAGCACTACCCTCCCACTGGTAACGATTCTAGATTATCAACAAGACAGGGAAGGAAACAGAAATCCTACCTGAACATAGCAGACAGTGAATGGAAGTAGATCCATCCTAGACTGCTAACTCTTCCCCAGAAGCAGGAAGAGAGCCTCCCAGATTGTTATGTCTTCTAGCCTGCGAAGCGATCGCAGTTGGCGTGGGACAGAATAGCTAAAATTCTGATAGCAAACCAACAGCCTTTCTGGATGGAGAAACAGTGCTTGGGGCATCAACAACCCATGAAAATGACAGGGGACTTGGAAAGAGACAGCCCAAGAGAACAAGCACTCGTGCTGTGTACAAACCCTGCCCAGCTCTGTGGCTGGTCTCTGAGCTGCCCGTGGCTGAGACAGACTGAAAACAGCATGGCTAAGGAGAAGAGAATTGAACTGAAGCTTGAGCTGCTATCCAAGAGACACTCTTCAGTTTGGTTACAACCCAGTTAACTGCTTAACCGATAACAAACAAATAAGCCAACAAACCCATTTATTAAAAAGATTTATTTATTTGAAAGGCAGAGTTACAGAGAGGCAGAGGCAGAGGCAGAGATAGAGAGAGAGAGAGAGAGGCAGAGAGAGAGGTTTTTCATCCCTTGGTTCACTCCCCAGATGGCTGCAGTGGCTTGAGCTGCGCTGATCTGAAACCACGCGGCTGCAGGGGCCCAAGGACTTGGGCCATCTTCTACTGCTTTCCCAGGCCATAGCAGAGAGCTGGATCAGCTGTGACTTGAACCAGCGCCCATATGGGATTCCTGTACTGCAGACCAGGGCTTTAACCCACTGCGCCAGAGCACCAGCCCCAGTAAACTGAAACATTTTTAAGGAGAAAGAAAATCTATAGAGACTGTTCTTAAAATGATGCAAATGTTGGGATCAGCAGTTGAGAGTTTTAAAACAACTGTAACTGTACTCAGTGAAGTAAGAAGTATGTGCTTGTTAATAAAATGGAAAGTAATGAATTTCAGTAGAAAATTGAACTCAAAAAAAGATCAAAAGGAAATTGCAGGACTTAAAATTACAACTTTCGAAATTAAAAAATGTCACTGGAAGAATTTAGCAGCAGATTGGAAATGGCAGAGAAAAGTCATGGCATTCGGGGGTCAACCAACAATAGGAAGTCCACAGTCTGACACCTGGGTCTAGAACCTGGGTCTAGGGACACCTAGAACACATTCTTACAGAAATCCTCAGGAGCGCACAAGACAACATCAAATGATCTAATGCACATGTAACTGGAGCCCCACAAAGATGGGAAAGAAACGGGCAACATAAAATCTGAAAAAAATCATGATCCAAAATTTCTCAAATCTAGAGAAAGGGGGTCCCTTTACAGATACAAGTTGTTCCATGACCCCCAAGCAGGACAAATGTGAAGCCAGCCATGCGAACACACTCCACAGTCAAACTACTAAAATCCAAGATAAGGAGAAAAATCTCAAACGAAGCTGGAGAAAAACAGCTCTGCCCTACAGAAAATACTGTGAATGATAACTAACTTCTCATCAGAAGGAACAGTCAGGAGACAGTGCACCCACATCTTCCACGTGTGAGAGATGAACTGTGTGAGTGGGGCAGAGAGAGGTGGAAGGTGCTGGAGTGATCACGGAGGTGAGACCACATGGGGCCTTCCACGCCGTGATCGGAGCTTTGAGTTAGTCTGTGAAGGAAACCAATCAAGAATCTTGTACAGAGGAACAGCCACATGAGCCCTCGTGGCTGCTCTGGGAGGCAGGGACAGAGAAAGAGGTCTTCCATTTGCTCTGGTTCACACACCAAATCCTGCAATGGCCAGGGCTGGGCCAGGCCAAAGCCACCAGCCAGGAGCTACTTTCAGGTCTCCCACTTGGGTGCAGGGCCCCAAGCACTTTCCCAGGTGCATTAGCAGGGAGCTGGATCAGAAATGGAATATCTGGGACTCGAACCGGCCACCCGTATTGGAAGCCAGCATCACAGGAGGCGGTTTTACTATTCTGAAACTTGAAATGGTACACATGTGCTGGCACTGCAGACAATGGCTTACCCTGCTGTGCCACAGAACCAGCCCCAAAGCAAAAATGTTTTATGCTAGGGTGAGAATGATAGATGTGATTGTAAAGGACACAATTCAGGATATATTTGGATTCCATTGTTTGTCTCTATAGTCATTTATTTGCATGCACTTTCAACCTCCCTTCTTTAACCACTCTTGAACATTCTTGCTTGAAAAGACTTCTAATCCTGCTTGGGAAAGAGGGAGGTGAGGCTGGCATGGTGACACAGCAGGTTACGCTGCAGCATCCAACACCTGCAGCCCTGAACCACTTCCAGTCCAGCCACAGCAGAAGATGACTCGAGTCCTTGGGTCCCTGCTACCCACATGGGAGACCCAGATGGGTTCCTGCTTCCTAGCCTTGGCTTGGCCCAGATCTGGCTGTTGCAGCCATTTGGGGAGCAAACCAGCAGATGGAAGATCTCTATGTCTCTCTCCCTCTCTGTCACCATGCCTTTCAAATAAATAAATAATTTTTTATATAAAGAGAGAGGTGAGGAATAATAGAACTAAGAGTCAAAGGACTAGATGGAGATCTATTTTGGGTTAAAGAATTGTTGAAATCTGTGTCGTTTAAATTTCAAATGCACAGCATGTTGTAGAAATAATCCCACAATTCTAACACAGTTTTTCCATTTTCCCACAAACATTTCAAAGCAGGAAGTTGAATGAATTACGTGACTGATTTGACACACAGCACAACGGAATAGAGAAGAGATAAGCCTATGGTCTTGAGCTTTGGAGAAGACGGTCCTAGTTAAGAAAAATATGACTCAGGTGCAAACAGTAAACACGGGATAGGCCCTGTGGCCTGTGAATCTGGGGCCAGGGAATGTCTGAGCCGCCGCACCTTGCTGCAGTTCAGGAATGCGTTAGGGTTGGGCTGAGCGCTTACTGTGTGTTGATAAAGTCCACTTGCCCAGGATGTACCAGGCTTGGCCTAGATCAAAAGAAGTCAGCCTGTTGAACTGGCGCAGCCTTGAAGGTGACATGTCTAAGGGAGCACTAGGACTTCCAGAGCTCTCACGGGGCTCACATCCAGCCAGATGGAATCATCCCAGTTGTGCCTCTGCTGTGAGGATTTTGAAGGCTGGAGACTCACCCTCTGCCTAACCTGGAAAATGTGACCAATCTCTCTGAGTGCACTTTAGCAGGGAGCTGGAATCAGGAGAGGAGCCAAGAACCCAGGCTCTCCCATACGGGATGTGCGTGTTCAGGCAGCATTTTTTTTTTAAATGCTTCACCAAATAAGTTTAACAAGTAAAAAGCAAAAGTACCCTAGTTTAGTGGGAATATAGAAAATGGCTATAAACAATAACCGAATAGAAAAATGACCATTTAACCGATTTACAATAATTTTGAAGTAATCACACATCATTGAAATTATAGTCGTATAACATGCTTCACCATTGCTTTGACAAAGGTATAAAATAAAGTTTTACAGAATTGTATTTGCAACAGTACTTGATAAAAACAGGTATTTCTCTCTTTCTTGATTCTGTTTTATTTATTTATTTAATTTTAGCTTCCACAAGTAAGGCAGAACACGTGGTATTTGTCTTTCTGTGTTCTGCTTATTTTACTCAACAGCATGTCATCCAGTTGTATCCATTTCAGGCCGGCATTTTTTTTAATGATTTATTTATTTATTTATTTGAAAGTCAGAGTTACAGAGGGTCAGAGGGTTCGCTTCCCAAATGGCCACAATGGCCAGTGCTGGGCTGATCCGAAGCCAGAAGCCAGGAGCTTCTTCCAAGTCTCCCACATGGGTGCAAGGGCCCAAGCACTAGGGCCATCCTGTGCTGCTTTCCCAGGCCATTAACAGGGAGCTGGATCGGAAGTGGAGAAGCCAGGACTCGAACCGGTGCCCATATGGGACGCTGGTGCTGCAGAGAGCAGCTTTATCCGCTACTCCATAGCACAAACCTCTCTGGGCTCATCTTAATGGCTGTTCTAAATGCCATCCCTCCTATAATTTTTAGATATAAAATTAATCTGATTAATTAAATTCCAAGCACCTGAACTTCCCATCCATTAACGCCTCTTCTTGACATATGTCAACACTGTAAATACTATCATTGGGTAGACAGTAGGGTTGATCCAAATATCCCACACCCATTATGTATAAGCCTCTGGGAGGAAAAAGTTGGGACAGTGAAGGGGAGAGAGATGCTATTATAAAGTCTAGGTAATCTTATCATCAGAGTTTGAGATAGCTGAAACCTCCTGATGTATAATAGGGAGAAGACCTTCCCATGGAGGCAAGAAAGCTCCACCTTAACTCGTAAGGATCTGGTCCAGTGAAATAATATTGGAATAATACAGACAACAACCACCACCACCACAAAATCAAATACCCTCTGCATGGTTTGCTGACACGGTGAACATCAGTGGGCCAACAGAGGGAGCCAGAGCGGCAGAAATGGAACCTCTGGGCTCTAGGACTAACAGGTGTTCTACAGAACTAGTGACAAAGTAACCTTGGTGATGGC